CTTAAATTGTAAATTTCAGGACCCCCGAGCTATCCGTTCTCCCTTGGGGAGGGGGTAAAGTTTACTATAGTTTATATAGGGAAATAACACTTTTGGGTATATTTTGACAACTTTCTGTAGGAAATTATTTTTACTTGGTGAGAATTATCCTTGGAGGTAGATGGTTTCAAATTGTAAAATTGAGATTCCTACCCCGACCCCTGGGGCCAGGGCGGGGCCCCAAAGGGAAAATTAATCAATATTTCAAAAATCTTCTTCTCCAGACTCAGAGGTACTACAGTGATTTTCTTTACGTGGAAAGAAAGATCATCAGGGGCTTTATTTAAATTGAAAATATCAGGACCCCGAGCTATCCGTTCTCCCTTGGGGAGGGGTTAACGTTTAATATAGTTTATATAGGGAAATAACACTTTTCGGTATATATTTTATATATTTTCAGCAGAAAATTGCTCAAACTTAGTCAGAATCATCTTGGGTAAATGAGAGTTTTACTTTGTAAAATTAGGATTCCTGCCCCATCCCCAGGGGCTAGAGCGGGGCCCCAAAGGAAACATTTACCAATATTTTCAAATTCTTATCCATTGATGACATGACAAGTATTGAATTTCACTTAGTTTACATGCTGATTTCCCCATCACATCTAAACAATAAAATAAAGCTACCAGTATCTATGATATAACTCAGGTGACCGCTAAGGCCCTTGGGCCTCTTGTCTGGTTTTAGATGGCTGTATACCTTTCCTTACATGACGCTATTTTCTGGTTTAAGATGGCTGTATACCTTTCCTTACATGTTACTATTTTCTGGTTTTAGAGGGCTGTATACCTTTCCTTACATGATGCTATTTTCTGGTTTTAGATGGCTGTATACTTCTGTAATGGTTGTTTGAAGGACGAGATGATGTACAGACACTATGCCCTCAGTGTTCCTCTCTACACACACTTCACCAGTCCAATTCGCCGCTACGCTGACGTGTTGGTTCACAGGGCACTTTCAGCAGCTTTGGGTAAGCAAACATGGTCATCACGTGTCCAGCACCATATAAAGTCTTCAACCTTGAGTTCAGCACCTGATTAGATTTTGTTGATCATTGGTCGAAATTAAAGGGTCAAAGGTCACGGTCAAGACCAAGCATGTTGAGGAAGAGTGGGGTATATATATATCTATGAGCCTCTGCTTACTTTGGTTTTATAAGCTCACCTGGCTGGAAGGGCCAAGTGAGCTTATGCCGTACTGCGGCGGGCGTCCGTCCATCTGCACGTCCGTCTGTCATCCATCCTAGGGTCAAGATATTTGGCCAGTAGGTACAAAGAATGGAGTGCTATAAACTCTTCTCATTAAAATGACCTTGACCTACTTTCAAAGTCACAGGGGTTAAATATGTTAAAAAATTCAAACAACAATATTTAAAGGACCATAAGGACTACAGTCATGATACTTGGCTATGTTATGAAGACCAGCAGTGCTAATATTTTTCTTAATGACAGTAATATGGTCATAGGTCAACTTTTAAGTGCTATTCGGGGGTCAAAGGTCAACATGGGGTAAAAGCTTTTACAATCTTCTTCTCAAGTTCTTTAAGGCCCATGGTAACCATAATTGGCCAGTAGGAACCTTGGATGGATCGATCGAGTACTATATAATTTCCTCTTAAAATGATCTTGACCTACTTTTTTAAGGTCACAGGCGTCAAATATGTTAAAAACTTCAAGCAACAATATCCTAAGAATGATTTGGTCTAGAGTCATGATGCTTGGGTATTTTATGTAGACCAGCTGTGTTAATTGTTTTCTTAATTACATTAATGAGGTTAAACGTCAACTTTAAGTGCTAGCCAGAATCAAAGGTCAACGTGGGTTAAAAGCTTTAAAATTAAAATTTCAAATTTCAAACAACAATTTCTTAGAACCTTTTATGAGATGTTAAAATGTCTTGTGTTCTTGTAAGTTGTACCGATATGTCAGTTTCATGTTACAAAAGAAAAAGGTGAGCTTTTGTTTTGCTGATATTTTGCTTTTATTTTGCTGATATTCCCAGGATTTAGTTTTGTGTAGGTGTATAACTATATATATATACTATAATCTAATCTCATAGTATTTGCACTGGTGTTTATATATGGCACAAAGGTTTCCAAAGGATCAGACACTGATGCTCAGAAGTCGAAAAAGACAAATAACTTTAATTCTTATTTTCTACTAGTTTTTGGTCTCTTTGTGCAGAAATCACCAAGTTCTTGTTTTGAATACAGTTATAATTATGAAAATAAGTTTCAGGAAAAGGATATTTGGCATCAAGGTTTCTGATCGGGTCAGAACTTTTTCTGCCAAAATCGAAACAGATTTTATCCATTTAAGCAAAAATCACCTGTGGTAAGGAGCCAAGGATATTACCGCTACTATCAGGATTTGATTTGAAGGATGCCCCAATGAATGAGATACTACTTAACAAGGAAACAGGGATCAATCTAGACTTGATTCACTACCATTTATGGGTAGTTTTCCCTACAGAAGAAAATTCCACTGTTCTATGAAATTATACCCTTATGTGCTTCAAAATTCCCCTATTTCAACAGGCAAATAGCCGTTTTCTTCAAAATATTTCCACAAATATGCTTTCTTTAAAGTTAACAGTTAAAATGCATGATACTGCATATATATATATATACATTTGCTTCACAAAATTCAAACAAAAATTCTACAACTTTAAGCTTAAAATTGTTTATAACTTGAAATTACTGCACACATGTATGTCGGACAAGATATTTATCTTTTACCTTCATAACGCGAGAACCTTGTATCAAAATGTTAATTTCCCCCAAATCTGAAAAAGGGTAGTTTACCCTTAAACCTACATTGATCCCTGAAGAAAACCATCAACAGGTTTATTATGTTGATATATAATTATGTCAATGTATTTTTTTGCTGTTATAGGTGATACACAAATGCAATTGGGCAAAGACAAAATACAAGAACTTGCTGACAATTGTAATGTGCGAAAGAAGGCCGCTAAAGTAGTGTCGGATACATGTGAAGAACTCTTCTTCTCTGCCTTTGTACAGGTATGTGCTTCTGATGCTCTGTGGTACGACTGTACAACTGCTCCAGTCCATGCAAAATACAAATGTTCTTACAGGACATTCGGTCAGGTTGGCTTGAAATACCAACCATTCAGAAGAAAAATGATCAATCATCAAAAGAAAAAACTTCAACATTCTTGAGAAAGTTTAAAACGGCTAGTCGGGTTTTGCCCCAATCAGGTAACAAAGCGTAAATTCTTCACTTCGTCAATGTCAATACAGGTTACTCCATGTGCTTTACTGTACCGAATATTACAGGAGCATTTAAAACACTGAAGTGACATGAATCAAGACAACTCTAAGGTAGAAAACGAATGCCGGACATTTGGTCCGGAATTATCGTAGTGATTGCCGGACCAGCAGTAATTTTTACCAGACATGTACGTCGGACCGGCATATTACCAATGGACTGCTGCTCATTGACATAATGTTGTTTTTAGTTCTTCAATAAATTCATTTACTCTGTATAAATTTATATGAAAGTAAGCAATAACATGTCTATTTAAAATAAGAATATGAAGTATAAAATGTAAATTATTGCATCCCAGCAAAAATCGAGAAAAACAAATATGATAACTCTTATTTGAGTTCAACGTGAACAAGTCGGTAATCATTGTTGAGAGAAACGTGGGTCATGATGTCCTGACGGTGGATACATTTAGAGATTACCGGGTCAAGATGTCCTGACGGTGGATACATTTAGAGAGTACTGGGTCGTGATGTCCTGCCGGTGGATACATTTAGAGAGTACTGGGGCGTGATGTCCCGACGGTGGATACATTTGGAGAGTACCGGGTCGTGATGTCCCGACGGGGGATACATTTAGAGAGTACCAGGTCATGATGTCCCGACGGGGGATACATTTAGAGAGTACTGGGGCGTGATGTCCCGACGGTGGATACATGTAGAGAGTACCGGGTCATGATGTCCCGATGGTGGATACATTTAGAGAGTACTGGGGCGTGATGTCCCGACGGTGGATACATGTAGAGAGTACCGGGTCATGATGTCCTGAAGGTGGATACATTTAGAGAGTCCGGGGTCATGATGTCCCGACGGTGGATACACTTAGAGAGTACCGGGTCGTGATGTCCTGACGGTGGATACATTTAGAGAGTTCTGGGTCGTGATGTCCTGACGGTGGATACATTTAGAGATTACCGGGTCAAGATGTCCTGACGGTGGATACATTTAGAGAGTACGGGGTCATGATGTCCCGACGGTGGATACATTTAGTGAGTACCGGGTCGTGATGTCCCGACGGTGGGTACATTTAGAGAGTACTGGGTCGTGATTTCCCGACGGTGGATACATTTAGAGAGAACCGGGGCATGATGTCCCGACGGTGGATACATTTGGAGAGTACCGGGGCATGATGTCCCGACGGTGGATACATTTGGAGAGTACCGGGTCGTGATGTCCCGCCGGTGGATACATTTAGAGAGTACTGGGTCGTTATGTCCTGACGGTGGATACATTTAGAGATTACCGAGTCAAGATGTCCTGACGGTGGATACATTTAGAGAGTTCTGGGTCGTGATGTCCTGACGGTGGATACATTTAGAGATTACTGGGTCGTGATGTCCCGACGGTGGATACATTTAGATAGTACCGGGTCATGATGTCCCGACGGTGGATACATTTAGAGAGTACCAGAGAGATCATGATATAGGCTATAAACAAAACTGAATATCACACAGCTTTGAAATAAAATTTGAAACTACCTTCCTGTATTGTAGGAGGTAGGTACAGTGGAGGGGGCTGCCATGGTGTTATCGGTCCTGGACCATTGTGTGGACGTGTATTTCCTGAACCTCGGGCTGACAAAGAGGGTCTACATCGATGTAAGTTACCTTTCTATATAAGGATCATTACTATAAGGTACCCTGCTACAATATCCACCCAGGACTGTTTGATTGGTCTAACAAATCTGTACGGAAGTTAATGGTACAGTTTTATCACGAACAAAGTCCATTGTATTGTTTTATATAATCAGAAATTTTGGAAAAGTTATCACATTTTGGTTTCTTCTTGTAGGTCAGTACCAGCTTTATTCTATTGAGTGAAAAAAATATCATAGTTGTTATTCACCCAACAAGTATTGTAATAAATTAATAACTGTTTATGTGTTTAACAGCAATTACCTCTTAAGGTAGCAACATATGTGGATGGGAAATTGATTCTAGTCTGGAAGAAAGTGGAAGGAGTGAAAGAAGAAATGACTCAGTGTCTGTCCATTTTCACAAAGATTCACTGCTCCATCACCAAAGGAAACTATCCACTAACATGGATGGTGAGTTTTGTTTTACTTGTATCTATCGTGGATGGTGAATATTCAAATCAATGTTACGTCGTTTTAAAACTAACCATGAAAACAAGAGGTGTATGGTGGGTCATGAAAGTTTTTGTCCTCTTCTGATTCAGGAAAGCATTTTAAGTACTGCTTTTTTCTTTTGATTTTTGGCTATTACCATGACGCGGCGTCCGTTCATCGTCAACCTTTTGTTTAAAACACTTCTTCTGAAGGTCTGAAAGTCCTACAGTCATGATAATTTGGCCAGTAACATCCTGGGATGGAGCCCAACAAAGTTTGGCCAGTAGTATCCTATGATAGAACCCGACAAAGTGTGCGAATGAAAATGGCATTGGCATACTTTCAAGGTCACAGGGGTCAAATAGGTCAAAACATTCAAACAACTTCTTCTCAATATCCAAAAGGCTTAAAGTCATGTAATAAGGCTAAACCATCATATGATGGAGCCCAACAAAGTTTGCGAATGAAAATGACCTTAACCTACTTTTAAAGTCACAGGGTTCAAATAGGTCTAAACCTTCAAACTACTTCTTCTGAAGATCTGAAAGGTCTAGAATCATGATATTTGGCTAATAGCATCCTATGGTGAATTTGGACAAAGTTACGAATGAAAATGACCTTAACCTACTTTTAAAGTCACAGGGGTCAAATAGGTCTAAACCTTAAAACAACTTCTTCTGAAGATCTGAAAGGCCTAGAATCATGATATTTAACCAGTAGCATCCTATGATGGAGCCCAACAAAGTTTGCGAATGCAAATGACCTTGACCTACTTTCAAGGTATCAGTGATCAAATACCGGTAGGTCTATACCTTCAGACGACTTTTTCTGAAGATCCAAAAGGCATAGAGTCATGATATTTGGCCAGTAGCATCGTATGATCGAGTCCAACAAAGTTTTCAAATGAAAATGGCTTTGACTTACTTTCAAAGTCACAGGGGTGAAATAGGTCTAAAACCTTCAAATGACTTCTTCTGAAGATCTGATTCCCCTAAAGTCACATTTGTCCAATAGCGTCCTATGATGGAACCCGATGAAGTTTGCGAATGAAAATGACATTGACCTATACTTTCAAAGTCGTATGTCTGTCATGCATCCATGAACAATTAACATTTTTGACTTCGTCTCCAAAACTGCTGCACGATATCAATCTACTAGTTCTCATGGGTGGAAATGTACATGTTCAAAGGTATGTTGATTATGATGATGAGGAGGATGAGGAAGATGCACTCAGGATGGTGAGGTTGATGATGATTTTGACTTTCACCATTAAATGGATGGTGACCAAAACTAATAATGGTTGGATCGATGTCAGTATAATGTAACAGTTGTGGTGTCATTGCTACCATGTCCAGGTTCTGATATCTCACTGTGTTGGCACTTTAAAAGAGTCCGTCAGTGGCCCCATCATTCTTGGACACCCATCCTTATATGACCTTAGCTGTTGCTAAAATGATAAACAGATAACAACAAACAAAACCCTTCAACACACTTCTGAATATCTGAAACGTGTCAAGTCCTGATATTGTTCTCCCATCAGCATCCTGTGTTATAGTTCAACAACATTTGCACATGAATATGCCCTTGCCTTACATATACTTTCAAGGTCACAGGGGTCAAATAACTAAACCTTAAACCACTTCTGAATATCCCATCAACCTAACTTCACAACATTTGGACAACAACTCCATGTAACAAAACAAACAGGTGAGCGATACAGGCCCTTCTAGGCCTGTTGTTTATTGTATCATCCATCTTGTCTTGGCCATATTTTCGAAACCATTAAAGATGTCCTGATAAATGTAAACTTGCATCACTAGTAGAATGTGGGCCGTGCATTGTAATTGAGTCAACATGAACTCTTTATTTGCTTTTACAACTGGTCTTTTCCTTTTCAGGCAACGTTACAAAGACCTGAAGAAGATGATTCTGTCAAATCTGAATGAGTCAACATGTTGTTAGTATTTATTGTCAGCTTTTACACTGTAAAAGTATTTATTGTCAGCTTTTACACTGTAAAAGTATTTATTGTCAGCTTTTACACTGTAAAAGTATTTATTGTCAGCTTTTACACTGTAAAAGGAGGATTTCACATAAGCCATTAGCACCGCTGTCATCTACAGGATAGATACTGACAGTTATCCACAGGAAAAAAAGGGACGTTTTCAATTATTCTCTGCTCCTCAATCTTTAACACCAATGTTCTATAAAAAACACCTTGGCGCAACTCATGGGCTGTGATGAATTTTACTGTTATTTCCCCACATTTTACTCACTTAGCAAAAAGTGCAGTTGAGCTTATTCCATGGTGTGGCAACCAGTGTCTTTCCATCGTCTACTGTTAACTTTTTATAGTGTGTTAAAATCTTTAAACCACTTGGCCAGTTAGATGCTGGGATGAAGAGTTACCATGATTGTTCAAATAATTACCTTGATGTGGTTTACAGTTCACAGGGTCAATTATATTACGTTTATACTACAATGAATGACAAAAAGGTATATGGAAATGTTATTGACCGGTAAAATGCTTTAACAAAAGGCTTCCAGATTTAATTCACATAAATGACCTTGACCTACTTTCAAGGTCACAGGGTATAAATATGTTGAGATCTTTAAACAGTTTCCCTTTAATAACCGGTGATGACATTTCGCCAGTATCATGCCGGGATGCAGGGATTCTACCTTGACTTTTTTTCAAGGTCACAGAGGTTAAATGTGTTAAAATCTTTCAACAACTTCTCAATAATGTTAACCAACATATAAGGGGAAGATATTTAGCCATTAGTATGCAGGGTTGGAGGTCCATCAAGTTCGTTCAAACTAAATACATGTACCTTGTTCCACATTCAAGGTCACGGGATCTAAAGCAAGTTTTTCTGAATGGTCCAAGAGTCATAAGTATTGGGTCAGAAGCTTGATGACGTTCATTTAAATATATGACTTTGTCCACTTTCAAGGTAACTTGTAACAGAAATTGCCAGGTGGGCGATGCATGCCCTTTGGGCCTCTTGTGTTTGAATTACAGTGAGTAGGAATGCTATTGCTGGGAGGTGGAATTGTTGTATGTCAGTCAGCTGACAAATCTGTTTTCTTGGCATAGTTAACATTGTTAAAGGTATAAAACTTTGATGATTGAAAAATAAACCATTCCTGTTATGTCAAGTTCAGTAAACAATTTTGATGTTGATAGGAATGTTGTTTTTGTCAACAATAATGTACTTAATCCTAATGTGTACATGTATGTGGCTTGTAAATCATTTTTAAAAACTGATGAAATCTTGCTTTAAAAAACTTGTCATATATATATCTAATGAAATTTTGTGACAAGATGAAATTGAATTAAGTAGGATTTTAAGCACACACTATAAAAGTGATAGAGGATTCATCTTGACTATAGAAACAAGGATGTTTATACTGCGAGAACCTGATGGTAGGAGGAAACGAGATTTCCCAAACTTTGTACTAAAGTGGTACAGAAGGTACAATCACCAAAACTGGTGTATTGAAATCCAGGATCCAGAGACTATAACAGAATAACTGGATTGTGGGATTCAAGGAAATGAAGTGGGCTTGTCAAGATTGAATAGCATTCTTATATTGATTGAAGGACTTGTGTCCTGAAACTGTTAAAAGTCATATTGAATTGAACAAGTGTGAAGGTGGCATTGTCCACTAAATGTATAGGTTTATTGTTTCTTTAATATAAACAAAGCTAAAATAAAAACAAATTCAATTTAAATCGTTCCTGATTTTATTTTTTTGTGCGAAATCCTGCAAAGGAATCATTTCCTTGTGACCTCCTCCCTTGATATGAGTGTAACGCAGGACGAACAGAGGGATTAATCGTACCACGAACCAACAGATAACAAACATCAATCTTCACGATCGATTAAATATAATGTACAAATACCACACTAGTGACAATATACGATAACGACGATATTGACAAAGCTCACTCTCTAACACACTCCTCGCATACAAAATACTGGAAATAATTACACAAGGTAACTATATATATAGTCTCGGTCACAACTCCACGAAGGACTTGGTAGTACTACAGCAACTTTCCACACAGGATTCCAAATATATATGACGAATGTCCACACAGGTTTCCAAAACATATATGAGAGACTCTATGGAATGTCCACACAGGATTCAATGTGTCCAGACAAGTCTCAAAGTATCCACACAGGATTAAGGCAAATGTCCACAAAGGACTCTGTATAAGGTCCACACAGGACACGTTTCCATGAAGGAAGGATGTACACCTATTGTCCACACAGGACTCTGTATAAGGTCCACACAGGACTGTATAAGGTCCACACAGGACTCTGTATAAGGTCCACACTGGACTCTATATAAGGTCCACACAGGACCTCCTGTATAAAGTCCACACAGGACTCTGTATAAGGTCCACACAGGACTCCGTATAAGGTCCACACAGGACTCTGTATAAGGTCCACACAGGACACGTTTCCTTGAAGGAAGGATGTACACCTATTGTCCACACAGGACTCTGTATAAGGTCCACACAGGACTCTGTATAAGATCCACACTGGACTCTGTATAAGGACCACACAGGACACGTTTCCTTGAAGAAACGATGTACACCTATTGTCCACACAGGCCTCTGTATAAGGTCCACACAGGATTCCGTATAAGGTCCACACAGGACACGTTTCCACGAAGGAAGGATGTACACCTATTGTCCACACAGGCCTCTGTATAAGGTCCACACAGGATTCCGTATAAGGTCCACACAGGACTCTGTATAAGATCCACACTGGACTCTGTATAAGGTCCTCACAGGACTCTGTATAAGGTCCACTCAGGACTCTGTATAAGGTCCACACAGGACTCCGTATAAGGTCCACACTGGACTCCGTATAAGGTCCACACTGGACTCCGTATAAGGTCCACACAGGACACGTTTCCACGAAGGAAGGATGTACACCTATTGTCCACACAGGACGATCATATGGTGTAAATGGAATAGAGTTCCAAGCATTACCGCGTTCCCCCTAATTCCAACCAGCTCCAATCTCGAAGAACAACTGGTCCTGTTGCTGACCAATTCTAGTGCTTCTTCGGTCTGAGGTTTGTTCCTGCTGTCCCGACATGGTTTGCTGCCAAATAAAGGTGACAGTTGTAAGTCCTAACAGTCCTAACTATAACAAAATACATTTGTCACTAACACACAACATTAAATAATTGTAATTAAATACAAATAACATTATCAAGTATAGTTTTAATCATAATAATTATCATGTATAATCTGCTTTCAACATCGATAATTACCATAAAGTAGCAAAATCTAAATGTACAAGAAGTGTAACAAAATCTATAGTAATGGTCTGCATGAGCTTCCATACTTTTTTCAAACTTTCATACGCACACATGAATATACGATACATACAATATAAATACATATTAGGATAGTTTCAAATATAGAATTAGCCAACAGATATAGGAATATTTCGCTACAAACGCATTCAACATCTTTATACACACAAAACAACAATTTCACGCATCAGTAATCCGCAGGCACGTCCACCCGAACAAATGACCATAATATTTATTGTACAATGGGCGAAATAATGGTTAAAAGTTGGAAATATGGTTATGCATAATACTTACCACTGCAGTCTGTTTCTGTGCCTTATCCACGTTTATGGGCTTTCGGACAGTTAAAATGGATAAATTATCCAAAACACATCCTCTCGGTGTCGCACATGGCTGACCCTACTCACTGTCCTGTCGGTCTCCTCTACGTTGGCCTAGTCGCGACACACATGTACACAAAACATACACAAAACATGACAAACTTACATAGCGAATGTCACAATGAGTGCCTGAAGACCACTACATATGACATCCTTGAATTATGTACAGTACTCAATAATGTTGTAGGGGAACCATACCAACGGGTCAAAATTTATTAATCTGGGTTTTATAGTAACCCTTGAATATAACTAACTCGGGTTAATTTCCACGCCATTGATGATGTTTTTTTATGTAGATATAGAGAAGCGGTTCATCATAAGATTGAGGGGTAACGAAATTGCCTTTCTTCCGTGCTAAGTGGTCCATTCTTACCCTTTCACCCCTATATAACTTGAGTAGACTCTACCATGCATTGAAATGGAAGCGATTTGAAAAACGTCATGGCAGCCATCTTGGATTGTGATATTTCAGTTTTGATGTCTCTAGTTCTCAAGCAATACCTAACAGATCTTTGTCAGATTTCATATGAAGGTTCCTCAAAGTATGTAGTTGTTCGTGTTTTATTTTGAGATAGATCAGAGTAATAAAATGGCCCCAAGTGTTTTTATTCCTAGCTTTCAAGAAATACTAGACAAGACTTTTCTAATATTTCATTGTGATTTATCCTTGGTCTGTAGTTGTGCATGTCTAAATTTTGAACTGATAAAATAAAAAAAGGTTTATGAAAAGCAGCTGTTTTGATAGTTAAAATTTGTTATCAATTTTTCTGAATAAAAGCACATGACAAATCTTTGTCAAAATTCTTTGTAGGTTCCCATTGGTCTGTAGTATTGCATATTCGTTTTAAGACCGACCAGAAAAACAAGATGGCTGCCAGATTCCAACTGAATTGCACTGTTATTTATCCATGTGGATCTAAATGTGTACCATTTCTAGGTCTGAGAAGCTTGGTAAAAGGTGTCGAATCGGCTGATTTGCTGTAAATAAATCACTTTTACTCGACATATTTCAGCCAATAGTGATTGCATGCTTAATCCTTAGGGATTAAAAATTGTATTTAGCAAGGGCTTCTCCTAGAGGCTACTATGAGGCCATATTGAACTGTTCATTACATGTTTTAAATGGTATACCCTGAATTCCTGGGTAGACATTATACCAAATTTTAGTGGTAGCACCCTTCACCCAAGGGGATCAAAGTTCTACAAATAAAGTGGTTAACATTGCTGGGGGCTTTTTTCTCACAATGCTGGGCAGATATAAAATCTCTTCCCTGGAGTAGCTATGTGAGTGATGCAAAACCCCTGTGTCACTTGTCGTCAAAATAATCAATTTAGTATTATAATCCCAAATCTAAACAAATACATCGAAACAACCGTTACATATGAAACAGTATTCTCGAAAGTTATCGTTAAGGCCCGTTGGCTTATTCCTTTGTTTGCAGTGTGACGTTGAACAAAATGAAAATTTCTATTAACATCATTGGTTATACCAAGGTTGCAAAAAGACTACTGACCTTGTCTAAATAAGAAGTTGAAATTGTATTATGGTCATTTGGACAGCCACGAGAACAAAAACAAGATTGTTTATCCAATTTGTTTATTTTTTTATTACAATACCATTAAAATGATGTGACATGGGATGGTTCATAGCGACAGATAACAAGCGACAATATACAAGTATAAACTCACGGTAACTTATATTACTTACAATGTACTGTCAATAGGACTGAGGAATCGGTGAATTTTTCTAGAGAATATGACATACACCACAATATCTACTCTTTGTTACTAGTTGTATGTATTGGACGTGATCTACAAGGTGATTAAAACAATGATAACACGCCGCCAATACCTCCTACGTAGTACTGTAGTCACAATACGTCCTAGTACTGTAGTCACAATACCTCCTAGTACTGTAGTCACACAATACGTCCTCGTATAGTCACAATACGTCCTAGTACTACTGTAGTCACATTACATCCTAGTACTGTAGTCACAATACGTCCTAGTACTGTAGTCACAATACGTCCTAGTACTGTAGTCACACTACCTCCTAGTACTGTAGTCACAATACCTCCTAGTACTGTAGTCACAATACGTCCTAGTACTGAGGTCACAATACGTCCTAGTACTGTAGTCACAATACGTCCTCGTACTGTAGTCACAATTCCTCCTAGTACTGTAGTCACAATTCCTCCTAGTACTGTAGTCACAATATCTCCTAGTACTGTAGTCACAATACTTCCTAGCGCTGTAGTCACAATACCTCCTAGTACCGTAGTCACAATACCTCCTAGTACTGTAGTCACAATACGTCCTAGTACTGTAGTCACAATACGTCCTACGTAGTACTGTAGTCACAATACCTCCTAGTACTGAAGTCACAATACGTCTTAGTACTGAAGTCACAATACCTCCTAGTACTGTAGTCACAATACCTCCTAGTACTGTAGTCACAATACCTCCTAGTACTGTAGTCACAATACGTCATCCGTAGTACTGTAGTCACAATACGTCCTAGTACTGTAGTCACATTACGTCCTAGTACTGTAGTCACAAT